GATGGCTGTATTTCTAAAAGGGATGGTGTTTTGGACTGACTGCATTTGTAATGCCTTGCCTTTTTTCAAAAGGGCAGAGCATCTACAAAAGAATAAGATAGAAATTATTTATTAATAGCGATTGGAGTATCTAATATAAAGCCTGTATTTAAAATATTAAGCAGCTTTAGTCAAAACATGTCCTTGTGACAGACATCAAATAAAGCACTCTTCTATAAGAAAAGGCTAACTGTACTAAGGCTTTTAGTAATTCCATGACACTAAGCATTCAAATGGCACATGCGGTGGAGACAACTATAAGTAATAAAGAATGGTTTATACCCTATGCAGGTAGAGAATACACAATGGCAGATGGGAAGAGTATAAAGGAGGCTGAAGGTCTTAAAAAAGCATTCTGCTTTAAATACTCTTGTTTGAAGCAAAACGATTCCATAAGTCTCTTCCTGAGCAAACAATGTTAAATTACTGGTTTGCAATGATTGACATGAAAAATCTCATTTAAATACTCATTATAAATGGTTAGTTTTCCTCGATATTTCTTAAGTGTCTACATAGTGGAATTTATAAATAAGAAATTTCCTACCTCAGAGATAGAGATCTAAAATACGTACCAAAAGGTTATCTCTCAAATGCAATTTATATTAACATTGAAAGATCAAGGATGTTCACTTATTTGTATCTTTTTGACAATTTTCATTTTTTTCCTAGTAGAAAGAAGTAACAACTATATTTTTGTTTTTAAAAATCTTTAAGTGATATTATGATATTACTCAATGACATAGGAACATAGAAGATTCTGTGAGAAAGTATTTTCTATGTGACATTTAGAATCAATTTGGCAGCCCAGCATTTACTTCTCTACTTCCAAAAGAACAGACCACCAAAGTAGTTTAGAAAAGTCTGAGTAGAGAATTAAAAAAAAAAGGAAAGGAAAGAAAAAACCTGATAACCAATCACACCTCTAAAATTGAAAGGCAACAACTGTAGAGAAATGAAGGAAGGGTCCGTCCACAAGGAGGTCTTTCTAAGGAGAAAAGGGAAATAGCTAAGTACTAAGAGGTCACAGGGTACATTAAACACATAAAAAAAACCCCACTCATTAAATTTAAAGATCTGGTCCTGCAAGAGCAGTTTTTGTTCCTAAAAGGCATACCAGTTGTACTAGTTTTAATTCACAAAGATTTACAATATTACTTTGTTTTCTGGAGGTTTTTTCCTGTTCTTTAATTTGATTCTATAATGAGTGTTACCAAATGGCATCTAAACAAATGTAAAAATTAAGATGTGTTATTTAAATGTAACCAAAAAGCTGAGAACTGCGTGCCTATTTAATTTCTTCAGGTTTTTTCCCCAAAAAATGTTCCACTGTCTGTTTTAACTTTTAAATAAATTTATCATACTTCTCACCAGCATTATTTTTAATTACACTGGTTCTTCCTTGACTACACTATTTACTCAACCCAATTATAATCAGCAGCTGCATATCCCAACTCACCTCCTCAGGACATACCGCACTCTATGCTCACCAACCACAATGGCCATTCCTATGAGAGTTGTGGAATTAAATACAAAACCAAGACTATAACTCTTACTGAATTGCTTTTACACAAACCAAACAATAGATTAAATAAAATAAATATCAAAGGAAGCCCCAAATAGGAGGAAAATCAGAAATGAGATGAGAAACATCTAATAATAAAGATTCCAACACAAAACATGGTTTTGATTCAGGCTCCTTCTTTAACTAGTTGTGAGTACTGAGCAAGTCACTTAAATTTCAAAGTCTCAGTTTCCTCACCTGTAATACAAGGATTTTGAACTTGATGATCCCTAAGGTCTCTTTTAGCTATAAAATTCTATGATTCTATAAAAATAAAATGAGAAAACATTCTTTTAGAAGGTAAAATGCAGAGTTGATGGAGACAGATGCATGTATGTGTGTTTGAGTGTATTTAGCATCTGCCTTTCCCATCTCTCTTTTCCATGTTCATGACTTCTACAAATCACTATTCAGCAGGAGCCCAGGGGCTTGTTCTCCAAGCATGACTCACTTGCTAAAATCTTGCTCCTTCTTTCAATCAGTTTATGAAATCCTGTGCGACCTATTCTTGAAGAATATGCAAACTGCTGATTACAGAGCTAAACTCCCTAAATCTGCTGCTTAAATTTGAAACCACAAATATCTTTTCTCATCTTTATATCATAAAAGTATTTGCCCCAAATATGATGTAATCTTACTCAAGTTAGGACATTTTAGTTTTAGTGTGGAATCTATGTCAATAAATTTGTCAGAATAACAAAATAATGAGAAAAAATAAAGAAATGGGGAACATAAATTTTTAGAAGTAGATGTATGATATTACAGTTGTTTTAAAATTTTAAGTAAACTACTTCAATGAAAAAGTATCATGGGTTAGATGTATATTTCACAGACTTTCAATATTAATTTAAAAAAAATTTTTTTATTGCTTAAAGTATTACAAAGAGTATTACATATGTCTCCTCCCCCCCACCCCCCTTGACTTTCCCCCGGCCTCCCCTACTCCCCAGTGTCTTGTCAATATTAATTATTTTGCTGCATTTTCACAGGCCAACCAAGGCATTAGTCTGTTTCCAAATTTGAATGAAGATATAGAAAAACATAGTGTACACAGCAGTTGGCTCATCAATGAACTATAAAATCATAAATCTGAATGACTAATTTCAATGTACTATGATAAAAAAGGTCATCTCTTGGCAATTCAATGTTTTAGTTTACATAAAGCACAACACACACACAAAACATTCCCTATTAAACTGATCATACATAATAAATTACAATTCATGTTTTAGCTTATCTAGAAGTTATTACCTTAAGATATTTTATGGGTGAAAGTACATCAACTGTGTTACTTTTGTAAGCATCTGTTTAAAATTTTGCAGCCATCTAAGGGCCCCAAACTACTATAAATGAAGTATGTTAACCTGATAGGGAGCCCCAATTTAAAAGCCAAATTTACAATCTGAGAATTGACACAATCAGGCTGGTATTAAGCCCCTGAGGGATAAGAGATAAACTTGAGTAATACTTTACTTACAGATAAGGATTTACAACATCTTTCAAACTTGGAAGAAGCATAGACATTTTTACAGTGGGTCACAGCCAAAATCGTGTCACAAGAAAACCTGAAGTCTATACCTTTAATTTCTGATCAACTTATATGGTTCCCTGACAAAAGCTGTGCTGGTAAGGTACATCCAGGTAATGCTGGAAAAGGTGGTACCTGCCACCTAATAGTGCTTAAAAACAGACATACAAGATACAGTTCCACTCTAGGACATACCTCCCCCCCATCCCTTTTTGATCTCATACCACCATAAAGACTGCCACTGATCCGCCTGCTTTCTACACCAGAAGGCTTCCCTCTACCTTTTCTTTCCTCCTTAAAAGCTAACGTTGCTCATGTTTGTTTTGATACAATTTCAACCATATAAAATGGCAATGAGTAAGGAATACACAATCTCCAGCTGTGATGTGCTCTGCTCACAGAGACCTTAAAAAACACAAGCATTCCTCAGACACACATCATCCCTCAGGCAGTTTCCCAAGCAAAATAATGAGCCTCTCTTCAAATAATTAGTAGGGGGGAAAAAGGAGACAAAAAAAACAACAACAAAAAAACAAAAACACACACACCGAAACACTTTTCCAAGAGAGATAAGGCTTGTATAAGTTTGTTTATTTCTTTACAATCTGACATTCCTCCTTGTCTGACTGCATTTCTACTCAGTTATTCCTATCTATTACCTCCTAAAATTTATCAGGCAGGGTATCTGTTAGGCAACCTCTAAGATGGCCCCCAAAGATCCTTGCATCCTGGGACTTAAGTCCTTGTGTAATCCTCTCCAGATAGATTTTGGGTTGGATTATTTACTCACTTCCAACAAACACCATGGCAGTAGTGATGGGGTAAACTTCTGAGATCAGGTTATAAAAGACTATCTAGAGAGCCTTTGGGACTGTTAGATTGAAGCCAGCTGCTATGCTGCGAGGCAGCCCTGTGGGGAAGCCCCTGTGGTGGAAAGCCAGGCCTGCCAATACAAGGCGAGTGCACTGGGAAGTGGATCCTTCTCCCCCTCAGTGGAATCTTCAGGTGACATCTCAGCCCCCATGTACAGCTTGACCACAACTGCATGAAAGACCATGAGTCAGAGGTGCTCAGCTGAGCGTTTCATGACCCACAGGAACTTTGATATAATAAATCCTTGTTATTTCAAGCAGCTAAATTCGGGGGCAATTTGTTACTCAGCAAGGGGTAACTAATGAAGGATCTAACCAGACAAACTGTCAAGTTAACTGGATAAAGATGGGAAGTTTCCTACTCAACCTGAAAAAATAGAAAAAAATGTATTTCTTCATTCTGCTCAATTTTGCAAACCATTTTCTTAGGTGGGGGGTTGGGGGTTTCTACCTCAGAAATAAGGTTACCAAACGCCAAACATTAAAAGAGAAGAAGAAAAATTGAAATGGAAAACATAAATTAGCTCCACCTTGCAGTAGGTAAACATCATGATATACTGATTTAGACAGAAACACCTGGGATCCTTTAAAATCTAAATTCCACTGGTTAAAACAAGCATGCACAATTACTAAATTACTAAACCTAAACAAAACATAAACAGAACCTAAAAATAAAACAACGAAAACCTTCAATGGCCGAGGATTAGGAATCATTTATGCTACTCCATCCAATTAATAATATGTCATTGAGCATCCACCATATAAGAAACTAAAGCCCAGTCACAGAGAACCAAACAAAAGAGGACAAACGAAGAAGCTTTCAAATTTATAACCAAAGTTTGATAACTGAAGCAACTGGCAATCTATCGTGACTTTAACTGTGTTTGCATTCATATTACTGAAAAGTATGTAAAGAACCGAAAACTGTGCTTATGCATCAAAAAAAAAAAAGCCACAACAACAACAACAAAAACACACACACAACGGAAACAAAACCTACTTTGCTCGAAAAGCAACACTTGGGTTAGAAGAGGACAATCATCGCCTCTTCTCGGCTTTATTTCAGGATGAAGTTGGGTCACTACGTAGGGTCCCAGGCTGACCTTAATGGCCTAGAAAACCCCAGGAACACACCTATTCCCGCCTGCTGACACCGCCTTATTCCCCACTTTAATAAGCCGTCACCGCTGTCACTCAAGAAGCTTTATACTGTCATTGGTCCCAAAGTCTTGCTGGTTGGCAAGTTTCTACTAACTAGCGAGCACCAGTTATCTTCATTTCCAAGGAGAAAAGTGGGGGAGTGGAGGGGAAAAGAAGCAAGAGCCCTGAAATATCTAGGCTGACGCTGGTACCTGAGCGACCTGCGATCCCCACCGCCGCCGCGACGACTCGGCCTCTTGACGGGGGCTTTTAGCCAAACAGAAAAGAGCTCAGCCGGGAACTGGTGCCCAGGCCATTGGAGAAGCCGGTTCAGACGTCCCGGGTTCACGCCGGTGAGGGTGAGGGCGGCGAGAACCCCAGAAACAGCCCCGGCTTCCTCCAAACGGAGCGCACCTCCAGCTGCAGCAGCGAGGGCTGCCGACAGCCCGAGGTTTGACGTTTCCTATTGTTGCCGGAAGTGACGTGTGAGGTCTGAGGCTTAAAGCAAAAGCATTTTTATCTCCGTTGTGGACGATTCGTTACAGATTCTCCGTTTCTCACTTCGCCTCCCGAGCCACTCCGAGCATCAAAACTGGGGACAGTTTTCCTCTGGCAGCTTGGGATTGGACTGGCTGTGGACAAGGCCCTCAGCAGAGTCAGCGTCCTCGGGGGTCTGGACGAACGTGGTGTGGAATCTGCGGCGAGGAATCGTGGAGCGTGGGAAGCCTGCCGCTCTGAAGGTCGGGCCGCGCTGCGTGGCGGGCTCTGACCCGCTGTTGCAGATACAAACGGTCGGCGCGAGAAACGCGCCCGGGCGCGGGGGTGCGGCCGCCCGGATTTGTTGCTGGCGGCTGGGCTGGTTGCATAGGAACCCCTCCACCCCCTTCCCTTTCGGAGTCCGCTTCTTGGCTCCGCGGCTGCTGGGGGAGCACCGAGGAGCTGGCGAGGCTGCCCCTTAGACTGGGCTGAGGTCTCCTCTCTCTGATGCCGTGACCGAGGCCCCGAGTGGGAGCGAATGACCAGGTCTGTCTTTTCGTCCTTTTAAATCTCGTGGAGGGAGGAGAGCCCCTAGACGTGCCTTGCCTATAGTATACCCAACTGCGCACGTCCCTTCGTGACAGCGAAGAACCGTGGCAGCGCATCCTCTGGGATTCGGTTGTGATTTACGGTAGCGAAGTGATAGGCTGCTCCCTCCTGTTGCATCCTCTGAGCTGAGCTCCTCGGAAATATTGACTGGAGGGGAGAGATGAAAAGTAGTGCATGTGTTCCTTGCTTGCATGTCCCTGGGGTTTCAATATATTTCCATGTTCCTAGGAGACTATTGCTTTCCCCCTCACTACGAAAAATAAAATCAATATTGACGTTTTGATTCCGGAATTAGGTCTGTGTTAACCTGTTAAAGTTGTCCAAACCTTTCAACAGTTTTATATGTGAACACGACAGTCCTACTGAATTCTGTCTATACTTGTCCCTTACTTCCCTTGTTCCACCCCCCCCCCATTTTCTCAATGTTTTCTCTCCCAGCCCTTTCTTCGTCTCTCTTAGAACAGTATTTCCCTAATATTTTTTGTGAAAAGTTTTATAAACTTAAACTTTTCCTCTTTCTACTCCTCTATTTTTGATACGCGGTTTTTAGATAATATCTAGCATTATGAGCAATGTCACAAACTTAAGTCATCAACTGCAATCGCTGTCGTCAGTGTAGTTGCTTCATTTTGATCAAAAATCCCTCTGAGTTTAATGGCATTCCATTGGGAGGCATCCTTGCCTGACCTCCAACAGCCATGCTCTCTCGCTCGATTGAAAATGGGGTTCGATTGGGCAGATCTGACTTGCGGAGAGAGCTCCCTGGAGGAAGCTAGGAAGCAATATTGAGACCATCGTAATGTTTGGATCCATGCTACAAGCTGAGTAATATCTTCTTTTACTCTCCTTGAATACGGGTTATAAAGTGTAAATGTTACTTTTTTAAAAAGTTATCTTATTTTTCATTTCTGAAAGTATTATGTTAAAATGTGCATAAGTTGGAAATTGACTTCTTTTAATATCTTAATTTTTAATCTTGTAGTAGACTCAGTAAAGCCTTTCATGAAACTATAGAGCAGCAACTATAATTTTTTCTATGATTTCACGTTTTGTATCCCTTTATTTTTTTTATTCTGTTCTTATCACTTATCTCCTTCACCTACAGATCCAAGCTGTACTTGTATCTTACTCTTCTTCAAAATATTGATTCCGCTGGTACTGAAGATGATGTGTTCCAGGGACATACTTTGTGGTCAGAAATTCCATTACCAGAGGTAGAAATAATGAGACATTGATATATGTTCCAGAACTACAGAGAAAGGAAAGATGAAATAGATACCATAAAGTGTTAAATGAAATGAAATGACGTGTACTAGAAAGATGGAATATACAGGATTAAAGGAAGTCTGTGGGAAGAAATACAATGTATATTAAAGTTATAGGATGTCTGAGGGGAAAAGGTGCTCCAAGAAGAATTGTGTTAAAATAGATGTGTCTGGAACTTAACCTCAGACCTTCTCTAATGGCCAATGACAATTACAGCCAGCTTAGTTCCCACCTCATCTTTTCCTGGAAAGTAAAGGCTGGTCGTGTTCATGAGAAGTCATCTCTCTTCTTCCATATATCTGTTGATCCCCAATCATTCTGAACGATGTTAAAAAAGATTTGCCTTTTCGGCCAGTATTTTGTACAATGTGATTTGAGGAGTACTTCCTTTCTTTTCTAGTTATCTCCCATTTGACAGTACCTGAAATTCCTCCTGCCTAAAAATGTAAATGCTTAGTGGAAGTAATTGATTGGCTGAAAAATAGTGACTAAAACACATGCATGAGTGTAAAAAATATAGTCAATAACCTGTTCTTTACCATATTGATAAAGGAGAGGAGACTTGGATCAGGAAGATACTGTGTTCCTAAAACAGAGAAAAGGTTCAGAATGGAATGCCTAGGAGCTTAAACTAGAAAGCTTACTGAATTTAGGATTTTGCACATTGTTAGCCTATTGCCTCTAGTTAGAAGGCGTGTAGAGAGATGATTGGTATCCTGGGTAACTGCTGGGAGGTTGACTGGGGGAAAGATCATGCTAACTCTACTTCCTCGGATTTATGAATTGTTCTGTTTTATTTTTAATGTCAATGGCTTCACTTTAAAGAAGCTTCATTCCCAGAAGATTTATTACTCAAGGTATTGTTATATGTTACTAGAGGCCCAGTGCACGAATTCATGCACAGGTGGGGTCCGTTGGCTTGGCCAGCAGTCAGGATGATCGGGGCCGCAGAAGGTTTGGCTGGCTGGGGGGAGGGGCTGGAGAAGATTGTCCCGCCTCCCGATCTGGGCCATTAGGGCCAGCTGGCCAGGGGGAGGGACCACGGGAGGTTGGCTGTGGGAGCACACTGACCACCAGGGAGCAGCTCCTGCATTGAGCATCTGCCCCCTGCTGGTCAGTGCACATCATAGCGGCCAGTTGACCGGTGGTTTGGTCATTCGGTCACTTAGACTTTTATATATATAGATTTTCCTTCTATGAAGTGTCCATGTACAGTTACAAGTAGATATTTTTAAGTGTTATTGTGCTTTGCCTTACTGGTTGACTAGACTTATAGTTTAGGTAAACTATATCTCTTTCATTTCTTTCTAGCAAAGGTTCTTAACTATTTATAAAAATGTATTTATTTATTTTATGACCTCCTTAGGGAATAACCTTTTCTTTGGAGATTCTAACAAAAGCCTATCACATTAGTCATTTAAAAATATAATCCTATGGTATTATTTTCTTTGGGATTTTAAAAAAGTGAACCATTTTATTTAAAATGTCAAATATTTTTCATGTGGCCCTAACCAGTTTGGCTCTGAGGATAGAGCGTCGGCTTGCGGACTGAAGGGTCCCAGGTTCGATTCCGGTCAAGGGCATGTACCTTGGTTGCAGGCACATCCCCAGTGGGGAGTGTGCAGGAGGCAGCTGATCAGTGTTTCTCTCTCATTGATGTTTCTAACTCTCTATCCCTCTCCCTTCCTCTCTGTAGAAAATCAATAAAAATATATTTTTAAAAAAATACTTTTCATGTGTTTTGCTGCACAAACATATATAAATACATATTCTGTTATGTAAATTTTTTGAATTAGTATTTCTGTCTCATAGGCCTTATGTATACCATCTTTAGCAGATATTGCCAAGTAACACTAATATACTCTTTCACAGAATTCTGTAGATTTCAGATTCCTTTATTTACTTTGTAATTTCTTAATAATTAATTTGATTGAGTGTCCTTTCACATGTTTACCCTTCTGTCAAATTCCTGATCAGGTCTCTTTCCCATTTTTTTATTGAGTTACCATTCTTTTCTTATGATTTTGTAGGAATTTCTTTACATACTCTAGACATGATTCTTTTTGTTGGTTACATATATGATAGCATCATCTCCCACTCAATGGCTTATCTTTCTACTCTCTTAAAGGTGTCTTTTGATGAACAGAAGTTACTAATTTTAATGTGTTTCATTTTATCAATCATAAGATAAGAAATTCTTCTGCACCTGAAGTTCATAAAGATTATTCTCTTCTGTGATCTCCAGAAAATCTGGTTGTCTTATATTTTATATTTAGATCTTCAACAAACCTGAAATTAATTTTTGAAGGATGTGAGGTACCCTTTACATCAGGGGTTCAAGTTTTATTTATTCCATCTGGATATTCAATTGACAAAGTATCATTTATGGGTAAAGACCATCCTTTCTCCAGGACTACTCAGCATCAAGTTTGTCATAAATTTAGTGTCAGTGGTCGGTTTCTGGACTGTATTCTGTTCCATTGTTCTATTTGTACATCTTTTCACTTATTCCAAATTTCACTTTATACTGAATCTTGATATCTAGTCGTTAAGTCTTCCAAATTTTATCTTGATAGTTATTCTTTTCTTTTGCATTTCTATATATATTTTAGACCTATGAATAATGTCCACCTATGAAAAACTGCAGGTATTTTTTGGGGGTAGGGCGAGGGAATGCATTAAATCTATGGATCAATATATATTGAGTCTTCCAATCCTTTTTTAAAAAAATATATTTTATTGATTTTTACAGAGAGGAAGGGAGATGGATAGAGAGTTAGAAATATTGATGAGAGAGAAACATCGATTCAGCTGCCTCCT